GAGCCTGCGGGTTAGTGTCTCAGGTGATACGTACTGCGATTACAGGCCGAAGTGACTGCAGCCCGTCCTCAGATCCCCCCCAGTGGCTGCAGTGAGGGTACTCCCCCTCCTCCAGGATGTACTGCTGGCCTTCAAAGTCTGCCTCCTGGTAGCCCACCCAGCTTCAACGTTGATACAAAGACACATTAAAGACCTTTCCAACTGATATTTGTAGCACGTATAACAGTAAAGCCTTTTAAAGATCCCTGTTTAAAGTGCACTGTGCAGCTTTTCCATGCGTTCGATGTGCAACACAACTGTAACCTGACAAAGTGAGCCAGCTTCTAAGAATGAGACATTTAGGATTTGGAATGATGATGATGCCCCTGATAAATACTCACAGGCCTCCGAGGACCTTCAGAGACCCGACTGCACACAGCGTCTTCTTGTTCACAGCAGGTTCGTCGGATTCTTCGTCCGGCTCTTGTACGTTGTAGATGTCGTTGTGAATCTCTAAACACTCGCCGTCAAAGTTGGGCTTTTCGTACAGTAAGGCCTGCACGACAGACACACAAGCAGGAGTTTTTACCTCTGTGTGTTTTTAGCCCACTCCTGCCTAAAGGTACAATCCCATTCATTCCACAGATTAGTAGTGTAACATATTTCACATCCGTCAGTGGAAACAGGCTAAAGTTCAGGCTGTAGGCTTGGAGCTGTCAGCGTACAAGGAGCTGATGGGGGAAAATGCCTGAGCATGCTCGTTACAGGAGGTCTTTCTTTGGCCTGTTCCTAAAGGTATCGCAACTAAACTCGTAGGAAAAGAAATACATTTTGGGGAAACATGATGTGAAGACATCATTGGACTATTTTTTGGTGTTTTTTCATAGCACATTCTCCTTCAACCAACAGCTTCACAGGAATTCGGCCTCATCTCAACCACAGTGAGATCTGTAACAGGAAATTCATCCTTTTTCCTTTAAATTGTTCCCCAGGCCACAGAATCTGAGCCAAGTCATCAAACATAATGAATCGTGTCAGCCAAACATGTCTGGACTGAACTAAGCTCGTCACTTTAGGTCCGACTGAGATTCTCAGGAAACACAGCTGATGTGTGCAGCAGGTATTTACAGATGTGACGTAGAACAGAACAAACCTTGACTTCATTGGGACGCTCCACTTTTATCGGCCCCTGTAATAAAGACGCACTCTATCAGACTCAGGTAACTCGAAGAATTACAGTAAAGTGCAAACGTTCACAAGTCAGCCACAACATTAGAACCACCTGTGCTAACTGAGATTAAACATTGTTCTATGACTAAAATAAACACAGCGATGTTTCTGCTAACAGATGATTTTCTGACCTTTTATGTTTGAAATCAAGTTTGCTTCCTGATGTATCCGACCCTGACACACTCCACTGTAATAAACTTCACCGGTTTTAATGTTGTGGCTGATCAGACTGCATAGCATCATATTGTGTATTCCCTGTACTTTACCATTCGGAGGGGTCGGAGCGAGCCTACGAAGGGCTCAGGGAAGCCCCAGGCCTCCGGGCAGGGATACTCTCCCACCTCCAGCACGCCCACGAACCCTCCAAACCCTGGATCGGTGTACACCAGCCAGCTGCAGACAGACACGAGATGGGGAGGAAAGCTGAGCAGGATTTCAACATTTAAGGGTTACTTTCCTGAAAGAAAACGTTAATCTTTGACACAATGGAGGGAATAATGAGCACTCTCACTACTCCCCCCACCCATCAGGAATCTGCTGCAGTTAACTGGGACAACCACAAGCTCCGGCCTGCCGCCTGCATTCCTTCACACACAGAACTCAGATGGATGATTTCCCATCAAACTTTATCTTTCTGTGCTCTTGAACCTCCACAGCGTTCCTGCTCCAGTTCAGACATCATAACTAATAACGTAAACAAATTAAAACATTCTTTTTCTGGCATTTAATCTCAGATTTGTAATGAGCCCGTACCACCAACAACAGCAAATTCCCATTTAGGGACATTTAAGTCTCCACTTACACTCCAGAATGAACCTTAATGGAGCCGGTGGTCTGTGGGATGCCATAGGAGCTGACCTCTACGGTGTCGTCAAAGTAGGACGCCATCCTGCCCAAGCCGTTCACCTCCGAGAACAGGTCAATCTGGGGCATGCTGTAGTCCTATGAAACACACAAAAATAACACTGTGTGAGAGCTTTGACAGTTCATTTCTTTATTTACAATAAGCCTGGAAAACTGAGCTTTTTGAATCAGGTTAAATGAAACCCAACTCACCCTCACTGCCAGTCGAATGGAGCCGATGACCACAGGCGCTGTGGGAATAGCTTCACCTATCTCATCTAGCGTTGCAGGACTTTCCTCCTCTGCCCAGACATTCACGATGCCATCTGTAGGACCTTCTTCCAGAGCGATGATACGGCCCTGGAAACCAGGCTTCTCATACAGGACCCAGCTAAAGAGACACAATCACGTAATTCTACACTTTTCACAGAACAAGCACCAAAGATTTCAGAGGACAGTTCAGTTACATCACCTGGATAAGTTAAAATGTGCTGCTACGTTACAATGGTCAAGTTTGTTTGGGGTTAAATCAAAACGGAGTGTTTTTCCATTAACTATGTCCACGTGTGATCATCACACTGAAGCGTGGATGCATGCTAATGCGTACCATCCTCTGATGACTCTGACTGATATGATGGGGGACAGCTTCATGGTGGTGGCATCTTCTACATCAGAGTAGAGCTCAAAGGCCTCTCCTCCAAACTGAGCATGCTCATGTATGATGATCTAGATCAAGACAGACATGTCACTGGGATCCATCATTAGAAATTCAATCTATGTTTAGATATACACTGCAGTACCTTTCCAGGCCTTTTGTGGAACCCTCTTACTGCAGGAATCTGCAAGAAGAGTTAGAAAAGATTTAGGTTACAAACTTAAAGCTGAATTTTAAATATTACTTTGAGTGGTCATCTGAACTGAGTGTGTCCTGATGGCCCTGGCCATGTGAGTCGAATGCTTTTTTTATTCTAGAACCGTTTTGTCTGCGTGACCTCAGTAAACACGTTGCTGACACGTCTAGTTTTTAGTTTTAAGGCAGTCGTTGGTTTCCACGTCAGGTTTGGGATGGTAGTCCTCCTTATTTTAACCCTGGTTACCCTGGAGTAACCTGCTGTCAGTTACCTGAGTGCTCACACAGCAACTTTAAGTATTCATTCATTACTTTTAGTGAAGTCCTATTCATTTAACAGTTACAGTTACAATAATACTTTTACCCAAGAGCTTCTTTCTTTCCCTAGTTCAGGTTTTATTTTAGATTTCCTAACAGGAGCAGTGCATGCTAAGAGATGTCAACAGAAATAAAAGATGTAAACGTGCTACATTTTTAGCAAGATTAGTGTAAAGTGTACTCTTAGCAGTCTGTTAAAGTTACCGTTAGTTTGGTATTTTAATCATCTGTGCAGTAAATGTTTTTGCCTCATTTTGTTCTACCTTAAAGTCAACAGCAAACATTAATTTGTTTTGATCAGTTTCCAGTGCTCCTGTTTCCTTTCATGCCCGCGGCAGAGAAACAAACAGTGTGATTATTTAAAGACACATTTCTTTTTATAGGTCTGCTTTATTTGCCTGTAGATGCAAATACTTCATCTCAGCCTGGAAGACGAGCCGATCTTGGAAGAAACTTCCTGTGAGAATTCCACATTGAGGACACGTTCATCTTTCCTGTCCTTACTTGTAAATGATTCACAGTTTGGTTGCAAAAGCATCACATAACAGTGTGAAGGTGGGGCGTGTGTGGCCATGGATACAAACTAGGAACTTATGAATGCTTTGCAGATTTTCTTAGCTGATTAAAACCCATTCAGGCTTTGAGAATCCTTCCTGCTAACAGGCAAAGATATCATTTAAAGTCTCGTGCCTACCTTTGGCTTTGAAGTTGTCTTTTGAAATCCATTTGGAGGGCGCTGCTGGATGTAGTTGGTGATTGGAGGAAGTTCTTCAGGGCTCTTCAGGTTCAGATCCACTTTAGATAGACCTGCTATCAGGTCCTGGTCCATAGCGATGCTCTCCTTTGTATTCTGGTTAGTTTGAATTGTCTGCGCTGTGGAGGTCTCCGTTTCTTTTTTGTTCTTCTTCAGTAATTTCTCTAAATGTTCAGGCAGCTTTATGTCAGAGAACGAGGGCAGCACAAGAGGAGGAGGAGAGGAGGAGCTAACGACTGACTCACTAACTCTTCCTGTACCACCTCCTGTGACCGGGCTTTGATCTACGCCTGTCCCACCCATGTGTGTGGCCTCAGGCTTTGATGAATCAGCAGCTTCCACATTTCTGAGTGAGGGCATGCCCTGCTGCTGGTCAGAGGAAGGTGTGCTATTTGAGGCAGAGGAAACTTCCTCTGTACTCTTCCTGGTGGAACGAGTGGTAAGTAAGCTGGAGAGGATGGAAATCTTATTAAGTCTTGACGTAAGCTTCACAGGCTCTTCTCCATTGTCTTGCCCCTCTTTTCCTGCTTCAGCTTTGGCCCCCTCCTGGAGTGCAGATTTACCTTCAACCTCATCAAGTGTTTTTGCTTGCTGTTCAAGAGTGGGTGTGGCATTTTTTTCCAGAGTTTGGCCATTCCTTTGATTTCCCTTTTGTTTAAGAATTGTCGTAGGTAAAAGGTCAATAAAGGTTCGTCCATTTTTCCTTAAGCCAAACTGGAATTCCTCAGGATCGAACGTTTTCTCGAAGTGGTCCTCCTTAATGGCCGGCAAGACAAAATGTGGAGGTTGAGACTTTTTATGAACATGCTTCTTTGGAGGCAGTGCGAAAGGCATCCCACCTTCCTTAATGTTCCTGATAAAATCATCGGCATCAAGAGGGTCATCCACACTAGCGGACTTGTTAAATCTTCTTTTGTGGACCCTTCTCTTCTTCTGATGAGATTCCACATCTAACCAGCTGGAAGGAAAGTCTGCATTTGATTGCAGACTTGGGGATGAAGTGGATGATTTCTCTGCAGTCTGTAGTCCTTTTTTGAAAGCACTACCTAGAACATCTGTTTCTCTTTTTTCTTTTGTGTCTTTGTCCTTCAGGAACACCTCGCTGGAACCAACCGTGGGTGATTCTTTCTTGGCATTCATCTTTGAAGCCTTTAGTTTCTCATCCACTCCAACAACCTCTTTAATGAGGTTTTTCTGTTCCTGTTTGCCAGCTGCTTTTCCAGCCATGGAAACACTTGATGTTACAGTTAATTCAGGATCTTTAGTTGTTTTCTTCAGATCCTTTGTTGCTACAGCCTTTGATTCCGGTTCCTGGTTAGTACCTGGAGCTGTGTGAGGTTCAGTAATTGTCTCTGGTTTCTTTATTTGCACAACTTTGACAGGTGTGCTCTTCTGGTCCTTTTGACTGCTAATTTCATTGTTAGCCTTTTCATTTTCCAAACTCTCTGCTGATGAGATCTTGGAGTCAGGACTCCCTTTATTTTCCACAGAACCCTGAGTTTTGCTTTCCATGTCATCTGTAGATTCTGTCTTTGCAGTCTCTGGTCCCTGTTGTAGACCAGGTTGTGGACATTTGGATTCTGTTGAATTATTCAGTTCTGGTTTTGTCATGTCTGCATTCTGCTTGTCGCTAACTTTAGTTGCCACCTCACTCACCAGGCTCTCTGCTAATGAATCCTTGGTTTCAGGAGCCTGGACCTGCTGTTTGCTAACATCATTATCAGCATTTGCAGTTGTCGCAACTTTGACTTCGGTTTTTTCATTGGCACCTTCAGTACTAGAGCCACCTGAGGTCAGTTCTTGGGTTGCGTCTGTATTTTGGATCTCTGTTGTCTTAACCTGAACTTGTGCTCTGACCGTCTCTGGTTTCTGTTCAGATTCATGAAGTTTAGATTCTGTCAGTTCTTTCTGGTCTTGGACTTCAGCCTTTACAGGTTGGATTCCAGCATCACTATGAGTCTGCAAAGCCGCCGTCTTATTTACTGAGCTTTCTGCAAATGAATTCTTTTTAGCTCCATCAGCATCCTTTAGGCCTCTAATTTGGCTTTCTGTTGCTTCCTGTGGAGATTCTGATTTTAGAACAGATGCTTGACTCGTGGATTCTGCTGATTTGTCACCCTCTTGTTTTGTTATGCTCCCATCTTGGTTGTTAACGGTTACAGGAGCCTGGACCTGCTGGTTGCTAACATCATTATCAGCATTTGCAGTTGATGCAACTTTGACTTCAGTCTTTTCATTGGCACCTTCAGCACTAGAGCCACCCGAGGTCAGTTCGTGGGTTGCATCTGTATTTTGGATCTCTGTCTTCTGCTGACTTTCAGCTCTGACTGTCTCTGGTTTTTGTTTAACTTTATGATCTTGAATTTCAGATGTGGTTGAGCTCGTTTCCTCTACAGGCTTCAAATCCTGTTGGATTCCAGCATCACTATGAGTCTGCAAAGTTTCTTTCTCACTCACGAGGCTCTCTGCTGATGAATCCTTGGTGTCACCTTTCTCTTCAGCTTCATCAGCATCCTTTAGGTCCTGATTTTGACTTTCTGCTGCCTCCTGCAGAGATTCTGCTTTT